AACAAAACCATCAGGGAGTAACATGATTTTTTGGCAGGGCAAGAGAGAAAGGCTGAGAAATGGCAGAGCCCAGCGCTCTGCCTAATTCACATCAAGAAATCTGCCTGGGCACACCCACTCAGGTTTACTTCAATAAAACCAGAACCAGGGCAACCGCTCTCCCAAAATCACATGCTAAGGCAGCCTCCAGGTACTCACCCTCAGGAAACAGGTCCTCAGGAAGCCCTGGGGAACCAGCTACTTACTGCCTTCACTCAGGTAGAACCAGGAGGCGTGAAGTAGGAAAGTTTTCAGACTCGACGAAGTTGTTTTAAAACTCCTGGCCAGCCAAGAATGTGAAAATGTCTTTCATATTACCCAGAGGACTTATTCCTGAGGCCTAAAATCTAAACAATAATCTAGGTTGTTAAAAAACTGTTACCACTCTGCTGAAACCCACCAAGCTGAACTGGGCACATGTTCAGCTAGAGCTCTTTTGTAGGAATGTCATATGACTGAATTCTCACCACTGAGGTGTAAGAAAAGCACATTATTTGTAGCACCTGGATCATGTCTTTAGAGATGAAAGCACTCATCTCCGTCCCTTTTTCATTCCTCTGGCTTAGAAGTGACAATAACTGGGTCTAGTTATGGACACGAGCATTGATAAGGAAAGAAAGAGCCTGCCAGCTTGGTTCTCAGACAACTTTTTAGGAGCTCAGTGATTCCACATGGGTCTTGGATGAGGTGGTGGAAAAGTGGTTCTCAGGTCAACTGACAGGGCCGTGCATCCCTGACAGAGTACCACTACACTGTTTTATGAAGTAGAAACAACTCCTGTGTTTTTTAGGTGGATATGTTGATACAGCCTCTTAGCTGCCATGATAACTACAGACATGCATCCTAACAATGGCATCAGATTTAATGGGTGTGTCATTCAGTAGTTTTATTTTTGTAAAGGCATGACCAAGTACACTTCATAAACATGGATGGTGCAGAGTAGTTACTCCACATGGCCTCTCAGTACAATCAAGACACAGAGTAAGCATGGTATGAGGCAGCTGCTGAGTAACACAGCATGTTGTTACACAGTAAACTTCTTATAAATAAGAACTACACTCAAACATGTTCATATATAGTATAGTAAATATACAGACCAATAATCTAGCTACTCATTGTCGTTTTCCAATAGTATGGCCTGTGTGGAATTGAAGGCACTATACCTTTACACGCCCAGAAAATTTTATTGCATTTCAAGGTCATTAGGCAACATGAAATTTTCAGCTTCATTATAATTTTATGTGGTCAACAAAGATATGCAGTTCTTTGCTATTTAAAACATCAGCATATGACTATATAACATGCATATAGCATGTTCAATTAATCAGAAGACAACATAAATGCTTTTGTAGTTCTTGAAATCCTTGACACACTAGAGGCAGACCCCAAAGCTCCAGAACTTGAAGTAACCTTCAGGAGGACCCCTGTGGGAGGCCTCCATAGCTCCCATACCTGTTGGCCTGAATAGAACTCTCATGCTGGCTAGTCCTCTGACTCTTATGAATATATAAATAAAGAAATTTTATTTGCCTTAGTCAGGATTTGGGATGTTTCAAAAAATTTCTCCAAATGAAGATCATCAAATTATTGTCATAGCCAAATTCCTTCTTAAATGTATCTAGACAGAAGAGTTTAGCAAAAGAGATTTGAATTCGATCCTCTATATTCCCCAAATATGTCACCTATTTAGGCAAAAGTCTTATAAAAATGTTTCCATTTGAAACCTGTTAGGAAAGGTATCTTTCTACAGTGTTTAAAATGGCTGCTAAAACAAAGAAACCTGCTGAGTTTGCCATCTGTGGTGTTCTCAGGGACCCACCTCTCCTAACTAGGGCGTGTAGCAGAGATCATGGTGTCCTGAGTAGCACACAGTGGTGAATGAATGGAGAGGCGAGGTTATTCAACATTGAAGACGGGAGAATAGAAAACAATGAAAGGAAAGGAGATGAGATTATAGCAGCATCTTCAAATCTGCCCAGAGCCCCCATTACACTATCATTATCATCCATCCATTCACTAATTCAATGATGTTTATCGAGCACCCACCCTTTGCCAGGCACTGTAAGTGACTGAATTGCATAGGAAAAACTAACACAAGGTTAGGAGAAGATGGCAGGGGAGATAGGTAGAGATCCTTCTCCAAGGAAGAAAAATCTGAACATCAACTCCAGAGAAATGAGCACAGGAACCCTGCAAGTGTTCTTCTGAGAGGGCTGGGTAGAAGTATGCCTAAGATAAAGGCTGTGAGGAGCAGACAGGAGACAGAAGTGTCTGCTTTGTACTCTGTGGGAGTAAAGTTATTAGAGATGAAATTAACAAGACCTCAGCCTAGATGATACAGGAAGCTCGTAGGGCATGGTGAAGCGTCAAAGGACCGGCTTCAGTCTTAGAACATTTTCCTTTCTTTAAAAAAAAAGATTTTTAAAACGTTCTTTATTGTGTGTGTGTGTGTTTACATGCCACAACACCCATGTGGAAAGAGGACAACTCGTGGGAGTAGGTTCTCCCTTCACCACGTAATTTTTGGGAACTGAACTCTGGTCATCTTTTCAGCGGGTGCCTTTACCTGCCGCGTAGCTGGCCCACAATCTTACTTTTTAACCTGTAAACTCAACTCCATACTATCAAGAGAAGAGTTACACTTGCCTCTTAAGTTCCCAATGACCAAATGACAAAATAGAATCTGCATTTAGAGATGGGCTTGCTGCCAATACCAATACAACAGATGTCTCTAACAATCTTACCGTGTAAACATGTATGGCATTATTAAATAGCTAATGAAGAAAGCTTTAGCACGTTAGGTCCCCAGAGCTGAGGCATGGCTCTGCAGCCAAGGAGAGAAGACTGACTGGCAAACCATGTCAGCGACCAGTCCCCCAAATAAAATCAGCTCTATAAAAAACAAACAAACCAAACAAGCAAACCAACAAAATCTAGCTCTTTGCTAATGTGAAGCGGGTCTACAAAGCTTTCACATTAGATCATTTTCTTAATCCTACTCACTCCAGGTCCCCTTAGGTCCCCTTCATTTGTTTGTTTGTTTGGTTTGATTGTTAGTTTATTCTTGAGACATGGTTTCTCTGTATAGTCCTGGTTGTCCTGGAACACACTTTGAAGACAAGGGTAGTTTTGAACTTACAGAGATCCACCTGCCTCTGCCTCCCAAGTACTGGGATTAAAGATTAAAGATGTGTGCCAGCGCATCCCAGTTTTGTATAGTGTTTTAATACTGTATTCACCCTGCAAAGCAGCTAGGATATCTACAGGTAAACCCTGAATAGAGAGTTCATTAAATAGACCTAACTCTGGAAGATATCTGGAAACTCTGTCTGTATCTAAACAAACTGATCTCTGACAACAAACCAGTTATAGTTGCTACCATAAGAGATTAACTAAAATAGTAAGTGGTTGTAATATCATAAGACATGGAGCAGCCATGGTGCAAGTCTGTTTTGATAATCATTCTGGAAAATTCAATGGAAACCTTTGTTGGACAGTCCACTTCTATGTGTCAGAAAATTGAGCTGTGAGTCAACTGCCCAAAAACCCAAGTAATGCTGCCTACAGAAATGAGTCGCTATATTAGTGGAAGCATTTTCAAACTTATATTCCCTAAGGGAACTTATGAAACAACATTGCTTCTTCTAGAAACTCTGTCCAATGTGTTCGATGTATCATTTATGCTAAAAATCACTCCCTCTCCCTTTCTAAAGAAAGATACTTGAAACAGGAAAATTCCTTTTTCTTTTCTTTTTACCTGAGATAAGAGTGGCTTTGGGCTCAAGGGTAGATGAAAATACTCGGCAAGGGACATTGGGGCTTTGTGATAGTGACAGGAAAAGCCCAAGAAAAAAGAGACCCTTGCTGAAGGATGCATCCTGAGAGGGGAGGCAGGGCTCTGGTGGGGGAGGAGGGAGGACGGCAGAGAGTGGAGAAGATGAAGGAGACCTGGAAGTGACTATTATTTCAAGAGATGGCCCTGATAAGCTTGCTATACAGCATGGAGCTTGGTCAGTGACCTCTGACTGCACTCAGGTTACATTGCTGTCACTATTGAGTTGTCACAGAGATGGTCTCATTCCTTTAAAGACAAGAACAAAGTACAACTCTGCTGAAGCTAGGGTCACGAAACCATTGGGATTTCCACCTATTCCACGAAGCATAGGTACGGGAGACATCTAGGACTTCCAGATGCCTACTACTGCTGAGCCAAGTGGGGTGCTGTGGCCCCATGTTAGCATGATGGGGTGGAACTCAAATATAAAATAGGGGAGTTGTTGCAGGGTGCTGGGGGCACTATGAAGAAAACAGAAAAGGAACCTGTATGGGGTGAATTTGATTTCACTAAGGCAATGGCTAAGAGAGTTTATTGTCTTCACAAAAGTTTTCTCAGTCATTTACAAATAACTATCCTTGAATTCTGTTTTTAGTAGATTCATTTTGCTTTCTTTTCCCCAGAAGAGATGTTGTCTCTCCTTTTTAAAAAACATATTTTTAAAAAATTTAGTAGTATAATACCATAGAGACCAAAACTATATAAACTTAATAAAGAAAGAGGTTTGAATGGTTCAGAACAGTCCCGTTCTGAAAACTAAACATGCTTCTTTTCCTCCTTGGTCAATTTGGCATCACAAATTGACTTATTTGTGGCTGTTATTTGTCTCCATGATTTCCCTTAATAGCAGGTTTCGCCATCCTTATAGTCACAAAGTATTTCCTTATGTCCATACCAAGTCCTTTTGGACTCTAATTTAAGGCCAGTGTCTATGGAGTTGCTCACTGTCATCTAATGAACAGACAGACACGTGGAGTTCCTTTTGAAAACTCACCTGAGCCTTCCTTTGCTAAAGCAATCAGCCCCAACCTTCTGTCCCTCCCTTCCTTGGTGCACTTATGAAAACATTCATAAATAAAGGGTCTGAGGAAATACAATCTAAAATGATTTAATGTAATTCCTTGTATTCAAATGACACTCACATGTACATTTAAAACAATAGTCCCTTTTATCCTGATAACCCATCTGAAAAATTATTATTCTTTTTTTTCTTTTCTTTCCACAGGAGATCATTGAATCTTGGCTCACTCTGCCAGAATTCCTCTAATTTTTAGTCTCTTTTGTATAAATAAAACTGAAGAGGAGCAGGACAGGTGGCCCAGTGGTTCAGAGAACTTGCCGCTTTTGCAGAGGACTTGGGTTTGGGTCCCAGCACCCACATAATGGCTCACAATCGTCCACAGTTGTAGTTCCAGAGATCCGATGCCCTCTTCTGACCTCGTTACATACCAGGCATATACGTGGTGTGCACACATACCTGCAGGCAAAACACACACACGTAAAATAACAAAATGAAAACAGAAGTCTACAGAATAGCTGGAATGGAGAAGTATTTAACCTTTCCATGGAGGTAACTTTCAGGTTTCCTATTGAGCATTAGTTTGATGAGCCTCAGCTCATCATATACAAGATGTGGCTTCTTAATGCATGGGAGAGGGGCCTGGCCCAGCCCCAACTTATTGTACCAGACTAATGTGAGTCCTCATGGGAGTCCTTACCTATGAGGAGGAAAGGAATGGGGATGGGCTAGGGATCAGTGGGGGGGGGTCAGGAGGAGTCAAGGGGGTCAGGAGGAGGTGTAGGAGGGAGAACTGTGGTTGGAATGCAAAATGAAATTTTGAAAAGAGAGAGATGTGGCTTGGTAGCTGGCTCAGTCCCATGCAGCACATACTCACACACATGGGCACATACACAACTGCACACGTGAAAACATCTTACAGGATTAAAAATTAAAGTGTTTCTTAATTAACCTGAATTGCTGTCTGCTTTATGTCTTAGAATTCATGTTTCAGTTATATGCTGTTCATAAGTCATATTCTGTTTAAATTCAAAATTGGCTGTTTCTATAAAACTTAATGTCTGCCAGGCAGTGGTAGCACACGCCTTTAATCCCAGCACTTGGGAGGCAGGGGCAGGCAGATCTCTGAGTTTGAGGCCAGCCTGGTTTACATAGTGAGTTCTAAGACAGTCAGGGCTATGCAAATAAACTCTGTCTCAAAAAGAAGAGAAAAGGAAAGAAAAAAAAAAGGGGGGAAAAAGGTGGGTGGTGATGAAGGCCTTTAATTCCAGCACTAGGGAGGCAGAGGCAGGCAGGTCTCTGTGAGTTTGAGGCCAATCTGATGAAGCTAGTTCCAGGACAGGTTCCAAAGCTACAGAGAAACCTGTCTTGACTATGATAACTGCATTTTTGCTAGAATTACGAAATTTAAATCTAAGAATGTGGTCATATTTTTGATAAAGTCTGTACTAACATTAATGCCATATCGTGTCTAACCCAGACTCAAATATTAATATGTGTTAGTATATGTGGAAGAATTATATGGACATACGTGTGTGTGTGTGTGCTCAAGTGTGTGTGAGTGTGTACATGTGCACTTTTCTGAGAAATAGAATTTTGAGAAAATGACCTTCAACCAGTAGAACATCTACAATTTGCCAACTCTCTTCCATCCTAGCCAAATAATCCCAGTTTCATTTTTTCAGACATTCAGATTTATAGACATTAAAACATATCACCTGAGGAAGTAAGGGCCACAGTGGTACACATACATAGCTATGCACCTAAAGTCTTTTTGACCCCTTCCAATGATAATCAAGACAATACATGAATGAGATTCTGGGTTACTTTCTTCTAGAATCAACTGTACAAACAGATATTGAGGATCCCATGGACTGTCCTCGGTCTCAGCTCTGTGGAACAAATGATTAAGCTTCTGGTTAGTTTGAAATATGCATGCATGGGACCTATTTTGGGGAGCTCAACATTAGCGAGCTATTGGCAATTTTTTCAGAGCTCCTATTCACCAGTTTTCAAATTGGAACTTGGTAATATTCCTCAAAAGAAGTATAAAAAGTACACAGATGTGCTTGACAAAAGATATCCACCATTTGAAGCTAAGCTTCTTTCCCAGTATAGTATGCTGCCTATAGTGCAATCCAGATATTTTTTATAAATCTTGTACTTATTTTATGAAAATCTCTATTTCATTGCATTGCTTTTATATTAAAAGCATTCATTTGTTAGCCATGAACATTTAAAGTATACTACAATTTTTATAGCCCTGTTAAAGAATTGAGAGGCAGCCTGAGGCCTCTTAGTCTCACGGGATAGGGTGGGTACACATAAATCCATTCTTGGTTTTGGGGCCTTCCCGCATGGAGTCAGGAGCTGCCATGTGGCTCTATGCCAGTGTCCTACAACTTCAGGGTCTCCTTTGATGGCCTTTGATCGGACCATTGTACCCGCGAAGCCAAGGTAGAAAGCGATGTGACCTTTCGGTAACCTTCCTTTCTTGTGTGAGAGTGAGACAGGTTAATTAGGCTTGACAGTGCGGATGACCCTTTCAAGTCAGGTAAAATGACACTGGTGTGCTTATCACTGGTAGACAACCGGGAATATAGCTTGTACTGTCTACGGAGAGAAAGGAGCTCGTTCATTGTAAATGATTTTTGAGGAAGGCTAAAAGATTCCCCAGAGGTTGCCAGGCCAACTCCATCTAAGAAGACAATGGTACTATTTCAAGGGGTTGAGGCACATGAAGGGTGCAGAACACACTTGCCCTGATGAGTTATTATTGATAACCCCCTCTTTGTCCTTTATTTAACATAATTGTTAAAGTTCAGAGTGCAGAACCAGAAAACCCACATGGAGGGGTTCCTTTCATTTGTTTGTTTGTTTTTTGTTCCTTTTTATATCTTAGTGGCAATGAAATATCTCAGGCAATCTGAGTTGACAATATATGCATTCTATTAAGCAGCCTGCTTTTCTCACAGTATAGTCTGAAAACGGTGCTAATTTAGTCATTTTTATGACTAGCACCTGTGAATGTGCATGTACTTGCTGAGGGAGAGACACCCCCTGAGGGGTCCCCCCATAGAGAATAGAGAATCTGTTGCCCTTCTTAGTAGAGAAGGCTGCTGGGGATGCAGGGTGGCAGCATCCCTTCTATCTATATAAGAACCAAAACCCTATATAGGGCTCTTAGGAAGACAAGCCCTTTGATGTGGTATTACTTTGAAGCTCAATACTTTATTTCCACAAGTGTTGGTTCTGTTTCTGTTCTAGCAGGTCAGAGTCTAATAGAAGAAGAAGAGGAGGAAGGGGAGGAGGAGAAGATGAAGAGAAAAGGGAGAGGAGAGAAAAGGAGGCAGGGGGCAGGGGGCAGGGAGGCAGAGAGGCAGGGATTAGATCTAGTCTCAGTGGAGACTCATAGCAGCCTATAGTGGATTTGTGCTACACACACATTGGGTCCCATGCAGCCAGTTTTGGACCAGTATATGGTGTTTGTCCAGCAGGTCTCCAGATGATACAAAACCCTGCAGTGATAGTCTCACTTGGCAAGGACCAGTGGACTTCGGGGCAGTATAGAATACTGCTGGGACCACACAGCCTGCATGCTCTCTTCTCTCTGGTAATACTGATGATTCGCTTTGTGGTTTTAGTGTCACTTTGTCAATCACGTATGGGACAGATGTGATCATTCCTGGAAATCCCATTTGTTATTGAATATTTTCCCCTAAAATTCTTTGGGAGTTAATGATTCTCAGGTTTCTTGTCTAGGGGGTGCCAGCTGTCACTTCAGTCCCTGGGAGCTGTTGTGATTCAGTTGTGACCTGATTGGAGGCAGATCACCCTTACTTCTGTTAATGTGTTTTGGGCAATAATATTCTTGAAAATGTGTGCCTATGTTCCCCATTTTTTAGTTTTGTAAAGAGAGGGTGTGCCTGGCTCAATATTCTGCCAGGCTAGAAAAATGATAAGTGTTATTTTTGGTTTAAAGATGATTTGATGTAAAAGTTGGGGGGGGAAACCCCATATTTGGTATATTTGTTTTTGCTGGAGGCTAACATTGGAGAATGGCAAAAACTTGCTTGTTAGTATGGAAAAACATGCTTGTTTCTGAAATATAAATAAATATAAATGACTGGAGCTATTTGGAGCCGGTCACTTGTGTGAAACTCGTCTGATGGTCAGACAATTCATTCCTTCATGCCAATGCCCCTTTCCCAGTCTCAGGACCTGAACCCAGGCTGCAGCAGGACCTCAGCACACACAGTCCTGGCCTCAGCAGCATGATCTATGGATTGATGATGTGTGTCCTATGTCAGTAATGAGAGATTTCCAAGTAACAGCAAGAGTTACCAGAAAAAGAAGAACTAAATCTGTGTTCTGTTGCTATCCTCCTTATGGGCTTTCACTACACAGAGCTGGCAGGGAAAACTCCTGTCTCCCCATGCCACTAACACAGTCAAAAAGAGGCAGGTTTCCCTCTAAAATAACTCATCACTCTTAGTAGACTTGGGGTGGGCAGAGATGGAAGGATCATGTTATATTGCCCCCTTTTTATTAGACGAGGCCTTACCATAGTCAAATAGCCAAAGCAAAATAGCCAAAACAGGCCTTGAACTTGCTGCCATCCTACCTTAGCTTCCCCAGTGCTGGTATAACAGGCATGGGCTCACCCCAGCCCCCACTTCCAGCCTTGCTGGAGTGAAAGTGTATCTTACAACTTTTCTCAGGAAAAGAGGGGGAGTTAAAAGGGGAAATCTCTTCTCTTCTCTTTTCTTCTCTTTCCCTTCCCTTGCCTCAAATGCCTCCCTTTTCCTCTCAAGTTACTCAGAACTTAAAAGATTACCACCTAGTTTATCTAATAAGCTGAAAGCTCGGCTAAACATTGAAGGTATTTAAATCTGAAATTAGTTTCCTGTGACTTGGAAATAACATAAATCTTTCCACATTTTTATTTTACATTTCAAAAAGTTTGTTCTTTGCAAATTTGGAGTTTTTGATATTTTGTGATCATACTTTCGGGTCCCAACTCTTCACAGATCTGTCCTCCTTTCCACCCAACTTTGTGTTCTTTGTTGAAAACACTTCAAGCTGCCCTTTGTGATGCCCAAATATAATTTTGCTTGTTTGTTTGGTTAGTTTTTGTGAGAGGTTTCTCTAGTAGCCTTGGCAGCCTGGGATCTGACTGTGTTTGGATATATGGACCACTCATAGAGATTACTGCATCTCTTAGTTCTCACCTGAAAAACTTCTGTTTGCAGAAGATAGTGATTGACACAGAGACCTACAAATGACCAAAATATGGAGAAATAGATACTTATATATACTGCATACACACACACACACACACACACACACACACACACACACACACACACACACACTGCTCACCGCTGAATGATCGTTGCGGAAGAGGGGGTTGGAAGACTGTAAGAGCCAGAGGCAATGGATGACTACAAGGAAACATC